GAATGTTGTGTTTTCTAGGAGACTTAACAGTGGTGCAAGATTTATGTCTGTTGATAGCAGTTTTGTCAGTCACAGACAGTTGCTAGAGCTAGTTTTCAATGAGCATGTTTTGTGATCGCACCGTGTAAATGGGGGTCTTGTTGAATAGGGGGTCCTTTTTCCTGAGGGTACTGATGCACATCCACTTTTCCTGAATCAAAACACTGTAGCTGTTCCTTCCATGGCAAAGTTTGCATATATTCCACCCAGATTATGTTGGAGAAATCTGCAGTTAATACTGGATTGTGAAGATGCTTGTGTTTTGTTTTTTGTTTGTTTGTTTGTTTTCCACAGAAGCCTGTGCCATCCTTATTCATTTTGTCAAGCCAGTAGTTATGAGTGACAGGAAATGAAGGGTCTTCTTAAGGGAAGTGATTCCCTGAGATACGGGCAGATTGTCATACATGTTTTTTTATGTTAGAAAGTCCAAAAAGCGTATCTCAGGTAGCTTTGAGGCATCATTCAAAGTATAGATCTTTTTCTGTAATAAACTACCAGTTGGTCTACATCAATACACAGTTTAGAGTGGACCAAGTACCTTTGGACTAACTCTTCTGGGAATCAGAAAAGTTATGACAGAGCTGGATTCATAGCAGAATCCCCATAACTACCACAGACCAATCCTTGCTAATTTACGCCTGTCAGATAATTAGGTCAATTACAGGATTTTCTGTTTCTTTCATACCCAACTAGAACTTGGTTCTGTCGAGCATCCCACTGACAAATTCAAAATACAAGTCAGCTTTAATATTTATAAATTATTTTTCTTCACAAGTCAGGTATATAGTGTGGTGGTGGTGTTTTTGTTTTTTTAAAAAAAGTCTCTGTTAACACTTATTCTATCAAACTGCTTAATAAGTCACTTGACCAAATCAATCAATCAATCAATCAATCAATCAATACTCTGGTTTCTCTTCAGATCGTGTAAATCTTTCGCCTTACTTGACCAAATATCTCTTGCACGTCTCATCCCAACTCATTCCATACACTGGTTTAGCCACGACAAAATCTAAATCATTTACAATCCTTTTCCTTATATCTCTCCCCCCATCCTCATACCCCACTTTGTGGGATTTGCCAAGAAATTCACCTTATCGCTAGGAAGTGCCTGTGGTAATTTCACAAGCTATAGAGCTCATATTTAGTTTTGCAGTGGAACAGATGGACACAGCCCCCTGGCATTTTAAGGGGAGAGAACACACCCAGACCTCCCAGCTATCCTACATCCCTCCCTAAACATAGGAAAGAGATATTAGGACTTACCAGGATGAAATTGACAGAAATGGGTAATTCTGACATGTACCTTGCAAACTAGTGTTAAATGGAAACCGTGCTGTAATTCCCGTTCAATATATTGTTGGTAAATGTCCACTGTGTTGTGATTCAGTTGGAACTGTCAGAATGTGTATACTATTTAATAGTGTTTGTGGAACTGAAGTGTCTTAAATGTGGCATGAAAATGTTATTTTAAAAAAATAGATTTGTTTTCTATTTTTGAACACCTCTAACCGGAGGGATCATGGGCCAATAAGTGCAATATTTAACGACTTATTCAGTGTATATAAACTTGTGTGGAAGAGAGAAGTGTTGTGGATGTGTGAAATTCCTGCTGCTAGTTGAAGACTGTGTGGCTTATTTAAACAATTTCTAGTAGCTGTTTTAAGTGTCCGATAGTCACGTTTATATCGTATAAATGCTTTTAACAGTGTCGTACAAGAATATTCTATTCCTGATTCTGTTAAATTAATTATTTTTCCTATATGAGATGATTATAAAAAAAAAACATATCCATATGTTTCCTTGCAAGTGCATGTCAATTTTACTTCTAGAACTGTGTCTTTAAAAAAACAACAACACCAAAAGATTATGCTATAAATAAAACAATGAAGAAACTTATTTTCAGTCAAAAGATCTTAGGCGTTTCTCAGTTTGTGCACATTTCAGAGGCATGTTCTATAAAAACGTAGTAGACTGACTCCCATTTCTTCTCAGTGGTCATTAGTTATAGACTCTGCCTGGTTAGGTCCCCAAAATGGAATGTATGTTCTAGATATCTCTACACTCTACATCATAGCTCAGACCACAGTAATAACTTGAATGCTAAGGAGACACATGGCAATGTTTCCCTTGCTTCGACATCAGTGTAACCTCCTGCATTAGGGGCCTAAAGTAGTAGTTAGCTATACAAGACCACTGCAGAAAAGAGGGCCGGTACATCTGACGGCTCTTTCACGAGACAGATAATTGTTTGTAAATATGCAAGGATATGCAGTTGGGAACATAAGTCCTTGTGGGCTCCTGGTACATGCCTTGCACATGTGTGCAAATACATCTTCCCCTCAAACATTACAACATTCACCAGTGGGTATAGGAGAGTACGTTGCGCCCTCCTTTGGTTCTCTATTCTGGAGGGCTGCCCGAAAACAGTCTTCTGTTTGAAGCTGTCATCTCTTAGAGGTCCAGATCTAGTTTAAAGATAAAGAACCACAGAGGAGGGAGAGCAGGAGCCATGAAGTTGCCCATCAACTGCTAATACTGAAGCAAACACACAACTCACAGGGTGTCTTCCCCACTATAGTGTGATGTACAGTACTGTACTTCTAAATTATAGTCATTATTTCTAAATTTACATCTATACATATACCACATGCAATTTTCTTAATGCAAAGGTGCCCTCTTTTTGGGGGGCGGGTGACACAAAGCCTCATTTTTAGCAGTGCTTAACTGGGTCACTATATTGGAAGGGTGGTCTTGCACATGAAATGTGAGCCTCTGGAAAGCACACAAAGAGGTTTAGGAATGGGAGCCTAAGCATGCCTTACTCAGAAATCAGTGGCACTGAGCTCCATAGGACTTACTCCCTAGTAAACCTGCAGTTTTATGAGAGCCCCACAGTGTGAGCCTATGCATGTTTCCTCAGAAGTGACTCCCATGGTACTAAAGGGGACTTAGTCCCCAGTAAGTTTGCATAGGGTTGCTGCCTAATCTACTTGTTTACAGGGCTGGCCCAATACATTTTGGTGCTAGAGACAAAAGCAAACCAGACTGAGATTTAGCAGGCAGCATCACCCTCCACACCTGAGGTGGGGAAGTTGAGCAAACCATATGACCCCACACCCCCCGCCCCACAATATTTGCTGCCACACTGTGTCCTGCTAATGGCCATGATACCAGCTTCTAAGCAACTGCGGGGAAGTATCTAAAAATGCAGTCATTTTCCAATAGTTTGAGGTCTGGTTTATGTGTTACACAACAACAACAACAACACCCATAGGAGACTGTTCACTGTCTAGCCTGGGGCAAGGGATTCCTTTGGATTCACGTAGGCTATAGAACACTGATTAGGAGGATCTGTAGAGGTATTTCACAGACTGGGGAACAAATCACTGATGTGTGGGAGGGTGGTTCTATTTAATTCATTTTAAAGCAGATTTGGTGGGGGGGTCCTGAATTTGATCAGAAAATTCCACCCAGGGGAGGGGGCGTTTAATACTTTCTCCACTGCTGTTTCCCAGCTCTAAATTGCCCCTCCCTGCACAGCTGCTGTTAGTTCTAGGAGTGGGGAGAACATTGGCCCACAGCTGTTGACAGTATTCCCTCTCCTGCAAGGCGAATAGAGTTAGTTAGGAGAGCTATTCAGATTGGGAAAATTGCACAGGGTGAAAACAGTTCAACACCTCCCCTCCCCTCCAGCACACCCATGCTGCATACAAACATGTAACTGCCTACGCCTATTTTAAATGTGGGAGTTTGTTCCCCACCCCCCGAAGAACAGAAAACATCAGCCAACTCAGTCTTGGATCTCCTACTTAACATCTAGTTTGACGTGGAGACTTAGCAACCCTGTTTCTGGACTTTTAGATAGCAGGTGGGGCTTTTCATGACAGAATGCACTTCCACACACACGCAAATTCTCTGCAAATAGCAAAGTAGATTGTCAAGAAGAAATCTAAATGAGAACCATTCTGTGTGGAATCTAGTTTTCCATATGTGGGGATTTAGGGGAAACAGACTGCACCCTCAGGTGGTCCAGTCCAGAAAATGATTTAGCACGTCTGATGTTTGGAAAAAGTAGGGCATGGTTAGTAGAAAACTGAATGATACAGGGAGTTTCCCCCTTTTCTTTTCACCTTTCCTAACACACACACTTGTCTGGAATAGGGCTGGGGAAGTATCTCTTCATAACCTAGAAGACACAGGCCCATTGTACTAAATTATTAGGAATCACAGGAGAATGAACTACACTAGGAAGGAGAGAAGAGGGCCTTAGGGCAGATCTGTACCATACATTTAAAGCATATCCAACTCACATTTAAAGCACATGACTTCCCCCAAATAACCCTGGGACCTGTAGTTTGATATGGGTATTAGGAAGTGTTAAGTCTCTGTGGAGGAACTACAGTTCCCAGGATACTTTGGGGGAAGTCATGTGCTTTAAATGCTATGGAACTCCCCTTATAAACCCTACTTTACTAAAGAGATGTGAAACTTGTGTTGACTCTTCAGGTGTTCCCTTCTACACAATCACAGTCACATGGGGGGGGGGGAACAGGGCTGTGCCAACAGGCACTGGTGGAAAATGGGGTCCAAAACATCGAGGGGTGGGGCACTGAGTGATGAACCCTTTTAAATCAAGGCTTTACAAATCCATAAAACAAACACCCAAATATATATATTTCAATAATCCAGTATGCACTCTTGTATAAGGCCTGAACTAAATCTCTTTGGCAAACTGGTTTCCCATGCCATGCTACAGTTACTTTGGACATGAATCCCATTGAAACCAATGAATAAGCCGTGCATAATTTAAGGCTGCAGTCCTTCAACACTTACAGAGAGACACTTAAATTGTTAGTCAAATACCAAAAACGAATGCATGACTTTTCCTCAGTCGGCTTGTAAACTGAACAGTAGGTATGTCGCTCAGTGGCGGAGCTCATGCTTTGAGAGCAAAAGGAGATCCCTGGCATCTCCATAGCTCAGTCAGTAAAGCAACAGACTCTTAATCTCAGGGTTGTGAGTTCAAGCCCCATGTTGGGCTTGTAGGGGGTTGGACTAGATGACCCCCGTGGTCCCTTCCAACTCTACAGTTCTATGATTCCAGAAAAAGACTCCTGCCTGAAACCCTGGAGAACAGCTGTCAGTTAGTGTAGACATTATTGAACTTTATCCTGGACTTATCAAACATCCAGGGAAACTGCTGGAAGCACATTCATCTCACCCTGTACTGATTGCACTTCTTAAAAACAAAAAAAGTTTCTTGTGCTTCTGGGTGATCAGTGTTGTGGCGAATCTCCTTTATTATGCCCGCAGGACTTCGTATTCAGGTTTGTGATGTGCCAGTATTACCCATGTGCAGACTTCTTAATTCTATGTGTAAGTAAACCCTACATGTCAGTCATTAGACATTTTCGTTGATGCGCGTTCTGTATAACGAGTGCACTTGTCTTATTTTGTCAAATCTATAAACATAATAAATATTTCAGAGACTCTACTCATGAATTAAAGACGTGTTGAGGTAATTTTCTACTAATCCCTGCAAGCAATGAAACACTGCAAGCAAACTGACACACTGCAACCCAATGAGGAGGGGAAAGAGTGTGCAGACTGATGCATGCCAGTGTGTTTTGAGGTGCTCCTCCAATCCTGGGACAGCCAGGTCAGCAAAGAGCATTGCTGGTGCATGCTTTACATATTTTTCTTAACACATCTGAAGTTCACCTGGACCATCATGTCACCCTGTGGGTCAAGGGAACAGCTGGCCTGATTGTGGCTATGTCATGCAACTCCCGCAGCAAAGAGGAAGGTGGTGCAGCTGCCCTCAAGTCGAAGTGAGCAGTTAACAGCTTCTTATTTTAAGATGCCTTTTCTCCCTGCAAATAGGTTATATTCTCAAAAGATGTCAACTTATCAAACATCCAAAAATAAGGAGCACACAACTGTGGTTGTAAAACAGACAGCAATATTTTCTGTCAAGCTGTGATGTTCTGCATGCACGCAAGATCCTACAAATCATAACTTCCTCCAGTGCTATTTTTCTAGAAGAAGATGTGCTGGAACTCGCCATAAACACCTCCCTCACTCTCTTAGAGTAGCAATGGCACCCACCTGAGAGGTGACGGAACTGAGTTCCGGAAATTTCTGTCTGAAAAAAAAAGCCACGACTTCCTAACATTCTGCTTTATTTTGGAAAGTTCCATGTCTTTCCTTGCAGGCTGCACGTCAACATGCTACATAAAACATTCCCTGTCCTTCCTTAACTTCATTTCTGATGATTCCAGGGGTGACCAACGTGCTGCCCTCAGGCACATAAGCTCCCTCAGAGGTCTTCCCTATTGCTCACAGGGTCCCTCCCCACTGAAATTACCCTTGAAAGAAACATTAAGTTGTAGGCAACGGAGTAGGTTGTGGTGTGCGCTTGGCTGCACAACTGTTTCTCGGGAAATTCAGCAGGCATGGAGGTTTACTGTTAGGGGCAGATACACCTGCTGCGTTTCTGCCCACCATGAAACTGGTAAAAGCAGGACTTTTTCTGCCAGAACTCACTGGGACTCAGTTCTGGCACCTCTCAGGTGGGTGCAATTGCTATTATGAAGCATTCATAGTGAGTTCTGACACCTCTTTTTCTAGAAAAATTGCACCGGTTAAATGCTTATGAAAACTACCCACCACCACCAGTCCTTATGATTTTTGCTTCCTATCCACTCTGGCTAAAGCAGCCTTCCCCCAACCTGGTACTGTCCAGGTATTTTGGACTATAATTCCATCAGCCACAGCTAGCATGACCAAAGTTTAGGGATGATGGGAATTATAGTCCAAAACAACTAGAGGGCATGAGATTGGGGAGGGCTGGGCAAAATAAACAAACCTTTATTTTCTTCATTCTGACAAGGGGAGTTGGTTTGGTATTTATGAGGGTTTTTTTAAAAAAAAATATTGGGACTTTAATATTGCTAAATGGAAATCTTAATCAACATTCCTCGCTGGAATGCTCACCTAAGTTTTTAATGTAAAAAAAAAAAAAAGGAAAGGGAATAAAGCACAATAAAGGCTTATGATATATGCACGCACACCCATTTTCTCAAAGCCTGTTTACTTCTGTTACAGAAAACTGCCCATCTGCAACCAATTCACCCCCCCCCCCGCCCCGCCATAGATCCCCAGTGGAATTTAAAGATCAGGCATCCATTCGGCTGCCTCTCCATCGCGAAAAGTTTCATCTGGTTCTGTTAACATGTGTCTGTTCTTTGTTAAAGGCAAGAAGTGTTTGTTTTTTTCCTACTTCAGAAAGGGGCTAATCGCCTTCAGTTTACGCCCCACCTTGTGTTTTCAAGTTTCTAAAAAACAAAACAAAGCACTTAAATGTTTTCCAGGTTCATTTAGGTTGCCTAAGAGCTTGCTGCTCATTTTTAGCATTGTTCAGCATAACTGCTACACTAAGGGGTACCAATTTTTTGAAACCAGCAGGCACATTTCAAATTCTGAGAGAGCGCTGGTGGGTGCCAGGCACAAAATGGCTGTCACAGGGCGGTGGGGGTCGCGTAGCACAAAATGGCTGCCACAGGGCTTGGTATAACATAAAATGGCTGCCATGGGGAGTGCCACAGGACAACAAGCCCTGGCAACTTTATTGTTACCATGGGAAGTCAACTATAGTCCTGCTGCTCCCATTTGAGGAGATTACACCACACTGATTACACAGAGAGAGAGAGAGAGATGCTGTTGCTGTCTAAGAACAACACTACCAGGAAATATAAACAAGGTGGACACATCACATTTACTCTTAATTTCACAGAAGTTGCTTAGAAGGCACCTACACATTTTGCCCCATAACTTTCTTTCTAGGAGGGCCATAGACTTCCTTAAAAACAAGGTATGAGTCTGAGGCAGCTGCCCAAAGGCACCAATGATAATGGTACAGTAACCCATCCGCTTACATGGGGGTTTGGCTTCAAGGGTTATGTCTTATATGTGAAAATATTGTATAGTCAAATGCTTGGAGCAGCCCCATGGTTAGAAGGGGGTAGAGGGAGCGTCCTCAGAGCTTCCAGAGCCTCTGCACTGAGCAGTCCTGGCCCCCACAAGCAAGGCGCAGAGCTTCAAGGCTCTTTTCGTGCTGGTTCCACTTGGGTTACCTGGCATGAAAAGAGCTGTTAAGTTCTCTGCCTTGCTTGGGACGTGCACACTTTCAAGCAGTCCGCCTTCAACCACATATGGCTGAAATCCTGCACATCAAATGCACGTACGATGGATTACTATGGTGCCCTGGGAGGCACAGAATTCTGTGACCACCCAGCTGCATGTGACCGCAGGCTCTGTAGATCTACAAAGATCTACAAAGTGGCACATGCCCTGTGCAACGCTCCTAATCCAGCAACAATAATAAGAGGATGTTCCCATATATGAAAATAAAATCAAATAAAACTGCAAAAAGCCATGACACTTAGTGAGCAGGTCCTAACTCATGGGTTAGCAAACTAAGGCCCGTGGGCTGGATCAGGCCCAATTGCCTTCAAGGTCTGGCTGGTGGATGGTCCGGGAATCCAGGCAGCTGCCATAGTGTGTGCGCGTGCGCATGTGGTGGTTTTGGCGACTCAGCCAGGCTTGGGGGTCAAAAGTGAGGCGGGCGACTGCTGGAGACAAGCCCCTTCTCCGTCCGTCGTGCGCACGCAGCAATCTTTTCTGCCAGGGTGGGGGTTAGGGAAGAGGGAAAAGGAGCCACAGTTTGGATTTCCACCATGGATCTGCCGGCAAATGACCTCAGGAAGGGCAGTTGCGGTGGCAGGGGCTCAGAGGCGCCTCGGGAGTGATGCCTACTGGTGTCTGTGGCGGCAGTGCTCCCCACCAGAGGAAGCGGGGAGCGCCTGGGTGGCTGCACTCCAAAGCAGTTCTGCGCTCTGCTGGGGAGTCCGCTCATTAGCTACACAGTGCGAGCCATGTAGAGGTAAATGGCCGCTGCTGCCTCCTCTTCCCTCACATGGGGAAAATAATGTTTTTGCTTGAGCAGCGCTGGCCTGACTTAGTGTGGCCAGTGGCTTTTCCCTTCACCCACACATGCGTACACGCTCTCCAGGGCTGACAGGAATGGCACACTTACCTCAGCCCCCCACCCCGCCTTATGAGAGAAATAATAATTGTCAATGTGTAAAACGCAAAGGAAGCAGCATGGGTGTGTGAGGGAACACCCTCCCCCCCCAAAAAAAAAATCACATTTGGGCAACGTTGGGGTTGGTACCAATAAGGGTTTTTGCCAAAAATGCGGGTCATAATCATGGCAACATAAGTCCGGCCCCCCACAAGGTCTGAGGGACAGTGGACCGGCCCCCTGCTGAAAGAGTCTGCTGACCCCTGTCCTAACTCATATTTTGATTTTCCTGCTGCTATAAGGGGCATTCAATTCAGACCCATTTATACGTTCCTGTGCAAAAAGGGCATTGATGTTTTGTACACATCTCCATGCAGGTCAAGTTGTTTCCCTGCTGCTCCTTTTGTAGAGAGTTGAAAATGAAGTGTGTTGGCAGATTAACATTCATATTCATTCAGCTGGTATTGGGCAAAATTACATTGTCTTTCCTTATGCCATCCTGAGCCATTTAACTCTCCCAATCGTCTCCATTGCACTTTTCTTAAATGCAGAAAACTGCACAACTTTTATTGGAAACCCTGTCTTGATTTGGGATTGTTCAGCAAGGGGAGATGGGCTTCCACATCACCCTTCATTTAAGCTACTAAGTGGAATAGCAAAATAAGCTGTGTGTTTTCAGTGAAGTACGGTAGTGGACTTTCTGTATTTGCAGTAGGCTGCCCTCTAATGCACATCCGTAGCAAATGCAGCTTATTTCAATATGGCACAGTATTTTGCACCAGCATAACTGCCAGAGTTTGTGCCCATGAAGTATAATCCTGCAACCACCCTCTCCCCGCAAACACTTCTGCTAAATTCAGGATGTTTACAAATAATCTGTCCATCTTGATTCGGAGACAAGTATTAGAGGTGTTGCTGGGGCTTCTGGAGTCAACTTTCCCAACCTAATTCCAGAA